TCTACTCACGTGTTCCGTGTTCTTCAGAAAGCTCAGCTTCGGGTCGTTTCGAATCTCGTCAACATGCTTCGGAGCCAGCATAATCACACGGCCGGTGTCAGAGATAACGCTGTATGGCTCTCCCCCAAACGTTTTCAGCCCTTCTTGAATGAGCTCATTGCTTCTTTGAACAAAGTCCTTCTTGACAGCCGCTCCACTGACGTCGAATGGCTGCGGCGGGTTGATGAGAGGTGGCAACTTGAACTTGTGATCGGTCCAGATCTTGTAGACTAGGGCCGCGGCCAACAACGCGGCGAGTATACTCCAAGCCTCGGAGGAGAGTCTGAAGCTATCCAGGGAGACTGGCAAGCTGTTATTAGCTAATGCGGAAGCTGAAGGTTTCGATGCCATCTCGAACGCTGTAGGGTTGATTATTATGAGATTGCTGGTTCGGATGATGCTGCAAGTCACCGATGAGACGATCAGGTTGCCGTCTTCTCGAGGCTTATAACCATTTTACTCCATGCATTGCTCATGAGAAGTTCTACAACATTAAGACGAATACGAATACGCTTATCGCAAAGACTGACGACCCCGATCGCTTGACCTTCACAGCATACATCGTGACACGGCGTTTCAGCCATCCGCTATCGACAACTTCAACGTCTCCATCTACAGCGACTCGACTCCACAAGCGCCAAGGAGTGCACTTTCCTATTTCGAACAGGACGAGCAGTTCGTCGGGCTTAGGTAATGACCCGTTCGGACGAGAACTGGGTCCTCGGGCTCTTGGGCGGACACCGGCCCCCGTCACGCTGGCATGACACGACATATGCAGGGCAACACCATTGGTCAAGAAATGATCGACAGCAGGCTTGCGAAAGCGAAGCTTTGGGTGCAGGCGAGATTTACGGGGATTTAGGGTAAGAAGAAGGTCGGAACTTACGAGGTGGTCGGGAGAGAGGCCGGCAGTCGTAACCCCACTTCCCGCCCCCGGATCGGCTGGTAAAGTTGCGTCGCTACTGCGACAATCTCGACTCTGTGGCATAATTGGCGAAAGTTTCGGCGCTGTTTCCTCCTCCCGGACCCACGGCTTATGCCTTGCGCCAAAATTGGGATGCAGGTGATCTTTTTGGGAACTTACGATTTTCAGGTCGCAAGGGCTGCCGAAGCGATCGGATGCCGACCTCCGTTTCATCGGAGCGGGTGGATCGCAGATGGCCCACTATTCCGGCAGACCGCCCGGCTTCCACGATTTAGAGGCGGAGCACACCAAGACAGGGCAACATTTGGTCCGGCTGTATTCTTTAAAGCTGTGAGTGCATATCAAACCATAGCTGAGGCTTTTCGATCGCAGAGGCTTGGCTGGATGCAAACCTTAATGTCGCGATTCACCCACCTTTCTGGCATTGCACCATCCAGGTCTCACAGAACAAGTACTATTAATACCGTCCAGGCACTGTTTCTGTTTTGAATCTTTGAGCTTTCCTCCAAATCTTCCACCGGTTCGCTCCAAGCCGGAACGCCATGAAATCTGTTCCTGAGCACACTAGCAGGTGGTGTAACCCTATCACCATCCTGGCCCTTCTTTTGAGAAAGGAAAAGTCGAAGAACGAACAGGTGGAAAGCATTGACACCCAAGCCGAAGATGTATCAATGCGCCAGACCTGGGGATCCGCCACATCGTTTCCAGTCGAGACGGCCGACACACCTCAGCCTGGAGGTTCCGTCGCATCATGTCTCGGCCAACAAGCCGTCTCTCCTACCTTGGCTGTCTCCAACCCGCGTGCCGAGGCACACCCGTGGGAAATCAACTTCGACCGCAATATCAAACACAGTAAAATTCTCCGTCTGCCGGAGGAGCTTCTGCTTGAAGTCATGCGCACCGTCGCTACGGACGACCTGTACATGTTACGCCAGGTGTCTTTCACCTTTTGGCGCATCTATCGAAGCAAGATATTCTCAGCATTTCACCGTGGGCATGAAAGAATCTGGTGTTTGAAATCGAATCGAACCGGCGGGTTTGAGAATGACAAGAAGACCGTTCTGCGCGCCAAGAAGCACGCGTTTTGCGCTCGATGCTACGAAAGACGGACATCACCAAACTACTTGCGAGAAAGGAGGATATACGAATGGGGGAGTGGATTTCCATGCTCTTACTGTGGCTCGTCTCACACAGCGCTACTCTTTTCTCCACAAGAGCGAACGCCGCTGATTGAAGACCGCCGACGCCAGTGCATTATGCCGAACGCTTTTGTGAGCCTTTGCTCACACCTCAAGGTCTCAGGCTTGACTATATGGAAAGAAGCAAAAAGCTGGCCGGAACGAAAAGTTTCGGACCCGAAAGTACTCGTGCAGAGCTGCCACCAATGCATGGACCTGGCCGAACGAGCTGTTCTTGAAAAAGACCGAGAATGTATCAAACCTCCGGCGTGGTACTTCACTCATAATGTTGGTGCTCTGCAGATCTCATGGAAGCTGCCGCTATTCGAGATTCCAGAACACGAAACCATCACGATTCCTTTCCTACTCGAGCAACTTGAAGAGTTCAAACAGACATACGGCGACGTACTTTGCCCTCATATCAGGCACGATCACGCGCGCCTCTTGAGAGCCCTCGACCCTCGATATTGCTCTTGCATGGGTGGAGACAGCAGGATAGGAAACGTGCTTCCATATGACAAGGAGCACTGGGGAACCACCGACTGCATGGGACGGGTTGAGATAAAACATCTTACCGCGTGTGGAGACTGCCGTACTCGCTATACCTGGGAGAGATCGAATAACCAAGTTTTCTTATCACGTCATTCAGTTCTCTATCTGTGGGAGAATCTGGCGGAAATGATCTCGTGGCGAAAGGAATTTGCGGCAATATTTGACCCTGTCTCCTATAACCCTATGTCGGATCACGAAATAAAGCATCTGTTCTGGTGCGAAAACCGTGACTGCAGAAACGGTAAGGACTGGATTGAATATTCTAACGTATTCCACTAAAAAGAACAGTAGCTTGAGGCGGGAGAAGAAGAATGAGGGAGTCTTCTAAGCTCAGTGAAGATTGACTTTAAAGATTATTCCCATAAATTAGCCCCAGCGAAACGCTCCCCCCTTTCTGCGGGTGACTCGCGCCTTCTCGAAGCGTTTTCCCGTTCCACTTGTGGCTTGATATCTGGAACCGTCTCTCCTTACCCTTGTGTTAGTGCGACATCCAGGTAGTACAAACCTTGTTCAAATTAATTTCTGACAGGGCGGTTTTCTTTCTCTGGTTTTCTTTCTCTGGTTTTCTTTCTCTGGTTTTCTTTCTCTTTACTCAATGCCATTTCACTCGCTCTGCCAGAACCTCTGCCTGCTCTTTCTATCAACACCATGAAGTTTGTCCCGAAGCTTCCGGGCGGGCGCTGCGACCCATTCGCTTTCCTATCCCTTCTTTTCGGCAAAAGAGATTCAAAGGAAAAAGAAAGCAGTTTCAGCGTGCTTCAAACCCGGCCCGCCAATTACCGCCAATCGACTCAGATGATCGCCCTAGATCGACAGATCCCTTGGGAGATCAGCTTCGACCGCAACCTAAAGAATAGCCAAATACTCCGGCTCCCAGACGAGCTTCTTCTTCAGATAATAGAAACTGTAGAGATCGACGATCTCTACATGTTACGTCAAGTATCATTCACATTTTGGCGTATATACCAGGATAGGACGTTTAAGAAGCTTCACCGACTCAACCGCAAACGGTGGCAAGTTCAATACGGAGATCCCGGGTTTGAAAAAGATGAAAAGACCGTTTTGAGAGCCAAACGCTGGGCGTTCTGCGACAAGTGTCTCGAAAAACGGAAAACGCCCAGCTTCAAGTCAGACAAATCCAATTTCAGCAACATGAAGGACTTGTACTGCTCTACCTGCAAGACTAATCATACCAGGATGGTTTTTACTCATTCGCAGCGGGAAGAGCCTCCAGAAACCCGTCGGTGCATTCTTTCAGACGCTGATCTACGACTTTGTCGTCATCTCACAGTTTCCGCATCCTCTATCTGGGAAGAGGTGGCCAACCCGGGCGACAAGGGCAACGATACGATGCCTGGCGACTTTGGCTATCCTCTAGAGCGTTGTGGCAAGTGCAAGGCTTTAGCTTTAGCCCTCGCAGAAGGCCTCGATTACCATTCATATGGTGCTATTCAACCACCGACGCTATCTCTAGAAAGGCGTCCGGGCATCGGAGAACGGGCGTTCCGGGTATGTTACGCTTGGCGCCTGCCGCTTTTCTCGATGCCCAAAGCCGGCGTGATCACAGTGCCCTTTCTCCGCCAGAAGCTCGATGAATTCGAACAAGCCTTTGGTAAAATATTTTGTGCTCACTCCAATCCTCACAATGACCAGATTCTACGAGCACTAGACCCAACGTACTGTCATTGCTTGGGAGGGGACAATCGCGTTGGGAATCTGGTGCCGTTCGATAGAGAGGGATGGGGAGGTCGGAACTGCGACAGTCTCGCCAGGTCAGAAGAAAACGACTTCATTCCCTCTAGGTTCTTACAGCATACTATCGCGTGTAGGGGTTGTAACAACATCTATCATCTCGATAGAACGGACAATCAAATATTTATCTCACGGCTTCACTCCAAGATCATCGAACTCAAGGACGGCAAGAGAATATGGCGCGAGTCATTCGTTACAATGATGGATGCTGTGTTAGACGAAATGAAGTCAGACAACGAAACTAAACATTTGTTCTGGTGTGAAAGTACTGGCTGTAGAAACGGTAAAGACTGGATTGAGTTTTCTAAGGGCTTTGTCTGAATGTTGATTACCAAAAGAGTGTGTTAAGGGTTTCCCATGCCAAAATCATAACAACGTCCAATTCGCTAGCTCAGACTCTTCATCTGTGTCAATTTGACGCCCTTCCTCGAGTTCGGATTGAAGGACTGGTACAAACAACTGCTGCCAGTTGAACAACTAGGCATTTGATCAGTACAAGAGAAGAACAGTGATGAAGGAGTGTGGGTTACCTAAACGTGACTGCAAAAGACGCATCAGTTGTGTGCCAACGATACCGCCATGTCCTTGTGAACCTGAAGAGAAGTTTCCAGGTCTCCCAGCTTCTTCGAAAACTCGTCTCTTTTCTCGTCCAAACGGCTACCAAGGTTGGCGGTGTTCTTGTTCACCCGGTGCTCCAGCTTGATCATGTTGTCGTCGACTCGCTTCTCTAGGTCGGCGTCGTTGTCGCCTACCAGCTTCTTCAGTTCGACGGCCTTGTCAGCCACGAGCTTCTTCAGTTCGGTAGCTTTGTCAGTCACGAGCTTCTCGAGTTTGATTGCCTTGTTAGCCACCAGCTCCTCCAGTTCAGTGGCCTTATCGGCCACCAGCTTGTCCAGCCGAGTGATGTCATTACCAAGGTTAGTGCCAAGATCAGTAGTATCCTTTGTTGTCTTTTCGAGGTCAGTGTTGAGGTTAGCGACCCGAGTTTTCAGGCATTGCATGGGGTTGTCCAACGCTGTTGCCGATATGAAAGGCTCGACGTTCGCTCTGCCGGAAATAGCCTTTTCGACGACACTCAGTCTGTCTTTAAGCTGAGTGGCCGCCTCCCAGCCGGTGATCCATAAGACGAGAGAAGCAAGGCGCCAGCCGCAGATTCGCCAGTCCAGCGAGATGATTCTGTCCTTAAAAAAGTTCAGAACTCCGATGATGAGGGTGATAATCGATGCTGCGGCGGTCAACTTTGTCGGTGCGGTCCAGGGGTTGGACGGCTTCGCGGCATCCTCATGGGCTTTGACGAGACGCTGTAGAAGAGCGGTCCAGATGAGTTCGATGTCCCTTTCGCTAGGGTCCTCCTGGGCCTTGACGATGCGGTCAAGGATTTTGACCAAGATGGCGTTAATGTCGTTCTGGTTAGAACCCTCGACAGAACGCTTCGTAGGATGAGTGGTGGTGTGGTTGGCAAACCTCTCCTGGGCGATGACCAGTAGAGTAAGGAGGTCTTTGATGATCTTGTCATCGTACTTGTTGTGACCATTGTCGTCGTCCTGGGAGGTCATGGAACGATTGGCAAGAGTAGGCGTCGGCTGCACCATTCCAGGAAGCTGATCGACCCAACTAGTGAAGAAATAGCTATTGTAGAAAGCCTCCAGAAATTCACTGTCCACGCTACACTGACTATCCCTGCAAACGACTGAGTTTAGTGTATGTGGCTTCAAACAGCTTGTCGCTGGGCCATGTAATTTTACGTACTCGGGATTGAGGGATTCCCAAGGATGACATTCCCGAGAGTCTGGGTCGGATGTACCTGGACCAGGTGTGTGCGTATTCTGCGCGTCACACTTGACACCTTCGATGAGGGAGATGGCGGCGAAAGCCAAAGGGAGCACAGAAGTCAGCCTCATAGCTGCGTTGTGGTTGTAGTGGATAAACAGGGAGAATATCCAGAATCGAGTGACGATGATGAGAGAAGAGAACGAACGACGACGGCGGCGAGGGCGTTCCTGACTTTTACCCTCCATCGTCGCTTGTCTGTCTGCCCTGGACGAAGAGGGAAACTGCTCGACTGGGTCTTCAGCGGGAAGCTGCTTCGCGAACCAGAAAGACGGAGCCAGTGGATGGCATCGCGCATGCATGGTGCCATGAAAGATCGCCTAATCGACGCCGCCATCCTTGGTGTCGTTGCCGTCATTCATCGATCTTGGTATGTTTGAAAGAAAGCGTTGGGTATTCAGTGTATGGCCGTTGAAGATGATGGCAGGAGAGAAGCTCGGAGCTGCGTCAAAGGCAAGGTTGCGTCAAGCAAGGCTCAAGCAAGGCAGCAAAGTGGGCTTTCAGTTGGAAATCAGAAGTTGGAAGGAGCTGTGGTCGTCTCTTGTTTCCATGGTCGCCATCGTCGGTCGTTGTTGCCATTCGTCCCCGTCGTCGTTGTCGTCGTCCGCCACCGTTGTCCGCCGTTTGTTCCTGCCAAGCCGCAAAACCAGGTGCGGACAGTGGCTCCTGCGTCGTGGCCGACCGAGACTTTGAGGTCTGCAGCCAGCAAAGAACAGCTGCGCAGATGTCTGCAGGCTTTTGATAGGTTGTGGATGGAATAATCAAGGGAAAGTGACGGGAAGAGCGGACGCTAGATGCAAAGCTCTTTCGGATTATGCTCCTCAAGTTGCAGCCAACGACGGGAGAGGACTAGCATCCAGCCAACCGGAACGACTTCAGCTCTGCTATTGGCTTTGGCTAAAGTGCCGATGGAGTCGATTTTCTCTCTTGATTGGACTGAGTGTCAAAAGACGCCGGGAAGCGGACTCACTGATGGTATATGCATGTCAACATCTGCCCGTCCAACTGCCAACGAATCCAAAACGACCGCTGCCCCCCCCTCAGCTGGCGGTATATGCAGGCCACCAGCTACCCGCAAAGTCGTTTGCGATGGAGACGTGGCCGCTTTGGATACCAAATCGGCTGCCCCTTCACTTCTACGTTTGGCGACATCTGTCCTGGTCAGTCCTTGCGTCTGTAGTGGTACCAGCCTGGAGTTATGCTGGGGGATTGGCGGTGACCACGGAACGTGCGATGTCAAACGGTGGCGGAGACGTGGAACAGATTTCGTGCGGTCTGGAAGCCGCATGCTCGAGGTGTTCTTACACACTGGAGATGTCGAGAACACACCCTATGGTATCCAAGAGCTGAAAAGATTGGCGATGTCGCGGCTTGCTTCACCTGGCAAAGCCCACCAAATAACCTTGAGACCAGCGGGAAGAATGCTGGAGACAAGTCTCACCTACATCGAGTCCAAAACTCCTATCGCGGTCTGGCACGGAGTAGTCGTTGAATCCCCCATTGCTGATTGGAGCATGCATAGCTTATCCTACATAAAGTGCCATCGGGCAAACACAAAAGTTATGAGTACCAACACCATAGCCGCCGCCCTGCCTCCATCTGTGGTGCTTTAACTACATGTACTACTTGGAAATTAATTGAAATTGCCCGACGAGTGGCTTGAATTTGGCTGATAGAAGTTGTTGCCATTCGCAACTCGACTTTTGACGGTAGCCCCTGAGTCTGGGGGCTTGTCCACTAAAATATCAGGGATTTCGTCGACTGACTAAAGCTTAAAGTCAACTTCAGCACATGTCCTCGACTATCAAAGCAACCGGATCGAAAGCACAGAAGAAATTCAATGTCGGTCGCACATCATTCACTCTCAAAGTGTGACAAGTCAGAACGAAGGTGACGACGTTCGTTCGGGAACTCTGAAGGGATGAAAATGGGGGACACTGAACGGACAGTGCCCCACTTAGCTGGAGCTTGATTGCTTCCCTCCAATCACATTCATCTGACCATGGGACGACAGGGATCAATGCCCTGGCCAGCTGTGCCTGCCTGCAAGAGACGGGATGAGGTCAGCTTTCGATTCGATGTGGGTACCGGTTGCGTCAAAACGCCAGCAAGTCAATAAGCCGCATCACCAAGTTATCACCTTGCCAGCTTCACGTCCACACTCCCCGCCCGCCTTTACACAGCCAGATTTCTCTGCACTCTGGCCGCAGTCGCGCGACGTCCGTCATTTCGGGAATGACTATTTAATCACAATGTCGAATGCGCTCTCCCTCATAGGCTGGGCCTTCTTGCCCAACGTACGCGAACCATCCCCTCTGCACCCTCGTCTTGAGAATTACATCACTAACCAACCCCAAAGCTAGCAACCTCCTGGGTCCAATCAATCTACTATGGCCTCGCGATTCGCGCCGGCGACCCGAAACCCCAACCCGGCTCCGCGAAATACGCCATCCACCGCCGCCGAATCTACATCCTCGTCGTCTCTGCCTACCTCCTCTACACCCTGATCGAAGCCGACCACACCCTCCGCCGCCAGGGCACGTTCTACACCGACCTCGACGTCGCCGCCTCCGCGCCCGTCCGCATCATCAAGTCCCGCTTCCGCCGCCTCGCCGCCGTCTACCACCCCGACAAGCAGACCGGCGACTCGTCCGCCGCCGCCGCCCGCTTCATGCACCTCAAGACCGCCTCCGAGACCCTCTCCGACCCCAACCGCCGCTTCGCCTACGAGCGCTTCGGCCCCGTCGTCGGCAACTGGCAGAACTGCAAGACCGTCTACGACTTCGTCTCCGCCGGCGTCTTCTCCGGCACCATCCCCCACTACGGCATCGCCGCCGCCGCCACCTACGGCCTCGGCCTGCTGGGCTACCTCGACTGGGGCCGCTACTGGCGCTGGGTCGTCCTCCTGACCTTCTTCGTCGCCGAGCTCATCGTCGTCACCCGCCCCGAGATGCCACCCTACCTCGCCATGGCCAACACCGCGCTGAGCACCATCCTGCGCCGCCCGCCGTACCTGCAGTTCCAGCTCGTGTCGCTCGCGCGCCAGGCGGCCGTCACGATGTACATTGCCTTCAGCCAGATCGGGCCGCTGCTGAACCCGCAGGGCCAGGCGGCGCAGCGCGCTGCCGAGGGATCGGCGGCTGCTGTCGACGAGGGCTTGCAGAGGCTTGAGAACTTGGTTCGCGGGCTGGACGGCGAGGCGAACCGCTTGTTGGACATGGAGATGACGCCGTTCATGGGCGACAAGGAGGCTCTGAGCAGTGTGCGCGCCAAGGTGAAGGATTGGCTTGTGCAGAACACGATTCGGGCGGATCCGATGGTTAGAGACGCGATGGGCAACTCGTTCCGCAAGAGGAGAGTTGATGCGCCTGCTGGCGCGAAGGGTAACCGAACGTGAGACGACGTCTAGACTTTGCCTTCTTCATACGTGTACACCATGGTTTTCATAGACGACATACAAATACCACATCTTTTTGTGTCCTTTCAATTGCCAACCTATCCCGCACTGCTGTGAAAAGCAGCCGTGGCCACTTTGAAGTGGCAGGTCTAAAAATAAACAAGCTTATTGTCGAGATCTCTCAGATTCAAGATGTGGCGTCTGTGGCTGAAGACTGTGGCGCACATCCAAAAACCCTTCATCCACAATGCCCCTCCCCCGCCAACCATCACGAAGTGACCGGGATCGGAGTGAGATACTCACCTCCTCTATCTCTCAGTTCCTTCATTTTCAGAATCAGAGACACTCTTGAAATACCAACTCACAATGGCAGCTGCTACATCATGGCACCTTCTGCCCCCAGACCTCATCGAGCACCAAATCGGCCAGATCGATCTCTTAATGGCCATGTACCCAACCGAAGATGAAGTGACCCTCGACAAGGACTCATTTAACCTCCTGGGCACCCTCAAAGCAGACCTCGAAAACGGCTCATCAAACTCATCCTCACTAAGGAAGACACCGCCCAGCGTAACACTACTCCTCAACCTATCCATCCCCGACTCCGATGACAAGACCCTCCCCCTGGACATCACAGTCCCCTTCTCACACACAGAGCCCTCCACCCCAGAGGACCCTCCACACATCAAAGTCCGCATCCAGCAGCCCCCCTGGCTCTCCCGCGCCGCCACCACAACCCTCAACGCCCTCATCCCCGAGGACGAAGACCTTTTCAGCACAATCGAGGCCATCGCCGCCTCAACCTCCGCACACCTCTCACAAGCCGCCGAAGAAGCAGCAGCAGCAGCCACGCCTTCAGACCCCCTTGCGTCGGGGGGAGGACCCCTGGTGCGCGTGTGGTTCTACTTCCCCTCCATCTCAACGCGCTCCAAGCGCGACGACTTCATCATCCACGCCCCGCGGTACCGCCTCACGGGCTTCCTCTACGCGGGGAAACCGGGCCTGCTGTGCCTCGAGGGCCCCTCGCAGAATGTGGATGATTACATGCGCTTCATCAAGACCGAGTCGTGGGGGGATATACCCGCGCACCACAAGAAGGTCAGCGAGCGGCATAGAGAAGTTGGTGAGGGCGTGGAGCGGGTGTTTGCGGACATGACGGAGATCACGGACTCGGTGGGGGAGAGGAGGGGGCAGAGGGCGAATCGGGGGGACATGAAGGCTGTGGAGGGGTGGCTTGTGGAGAGGGGGCTGGGGGATGCGTTCGCGAAGGTGTTGATGTGATGCGGGTTTTGGTTGACTGATGTCGGAAAAAGGATAAGAAGCAGAAGGGGGGCCGGATTTGGGACCAAGGCTTCCGGGGATGAA